CATGCCCATCTTTTATTAGTAGTATTTCAATTTTATTTTAAAATAATAAATTTAGAGCAAGCTTTCTATGCTTCCTCTACAGTATAAAACTTATATACTTCCCCTTATCTAACCGTTCATTCTGAATAGAGTATTAAGATTGCCCCAATCACAATATCACGTCTCTGCACTATTTTATTTTTAATTTTTTTTTCTATAAATTATTTTGACACCAAATTTTGGATGTCCAATCCTCTATAAAACTTGCACTAGTGAAAAATATAAAACAATATTTTCAATAAAATAAAATGACCAAAATACCCTTAAAAGGTTCAAAGGGTATTTTGATTATTATATTTTATCGAAAAAATATTTTTAATATTTTTTATAAGTGAGCCCTAATGAGAAGATGTCACGTACCAAATTTTAAATTCATGTAATTTGTATAAAAAAAAACTAAAAATAAAATACTTTGAGACGTCGGATATAAGATCAAACGGTGAATGACTCTTTTGATCAAAATTGGATGGTTGGATGGTAGGGGAAGCATAGATCTTCTATGCGGTAGGGAAAAAATAGAAACCTTTCCCATAAATTTATGTGCCACTTAAATGTGGTCACACAATTATTAGGCAGTATGAGAAATGGGATCATATATTGGAAAATGGTTTGATAGGTTTAAAGCCCTGCGCATCGTCCATTAATTTGTGCAGTCTACATCTCTTACACCGGTGAATGAGAGAAACTGGGATATCCAAAGCCCCGGTAAATACTGCATTTTTTTAAAAAGAAATTTTTATGTGGTTTATATAAGGTTGCGACCTTAAACAATTTAATTAAGGCGCATCTCCTAATCTTATCATAACATATAACTTTGTTGTAAAATATTTTTGGGAATATCTGAAAATCTATTTTCGTATCTAATTATTAAATTTTAAACTCAATAAATGGTTACAATCTAGTAGATCTATAAACATATAAAAATCTTAAAAATGGATGGTTTAGATAATGTGTTATAAGATACACTATTGTTGGGACTCAAAATCTTTTTTTTTTTTTTTTTTCATATTCGTGCATCTAAATGTCGAGATGATCAATTAGAAGTTTTTTACATGTTAAAACAACATTTTTCAAGGAGTATTTTAAGTGCATCTTTAATTCTATATAGAGATGCCAAAGCCATCATCATAGGGAGACTTAGGAAAAAGGAGCGTAATGATGGCATAAGATTAAACACAAAAAAAACAATTAGGAACTTAACGCTTTTTCCTGTCCAATCGCATGAGCATGAAATATCAAGGGCAAATTCTGCAAAAATATTATTTGCAACATCAGACCGAGAGAAAATTTGAAAAAAAAAAATAAAGATTTTTGGGGATATGTCCTTCCAAGTAATAACTATCTATTTTTGAGCAAATTTCGTTATAACGGTAGAAATATCAATCCATAGGTAAATTTTCCTAATAAAAAATATAGAAATAGAAAGTTAGGAAAGTAAAGGGCCGTATGGATACTTGGCAATGCATTGCTAAAAATATTTTTTATTTAGAAATGGCATATTTTTTGTTTTTGAATAGAAATTTTAGGACTGAAAAATATTTCCGTCAAAATTTATTTTTCCCCTTTCAAGTCAAAATAAAAAAATTTGTATCATTGTCTTTAACCTCCGATATTGATTTCCCTCAGGATTTAGAGGCACCTACTTTATAAAATACAATTCAGCTATCTTCAAACTCTTGCAAGCCTCTTCTAATTCCGCTTGAAGAGGCCCGTTCTTATCGTTCTTAACAAAAAGCTCCACTTCCAATGAAGCAATGATGAGGTCCTTTGCGATCAATTTGATCTCGAAGCATCTCACTCCATTTTTGATTGAGAAAGATCCTTTGCGATCAATTTGATCTCGAAGCATCTCACTCCTTTTTTGACCGAGAAAGAGTGTACAAAGGTTATTGAGGCTTATGGTCAGTTGGTTAGAATAGTCAAGGAGGTAATTAGAAAATGGACCCGGCTTTTATCCGGCCAAGCCCGTATATGTAGAAATGCGAGCCTCTTAATAGATTTATTTTTGAAATGAATTTTAATACTTAATTTTGAAGGATATGTAATCTCTAACATGCAATCATGAATATGAATAAATAAATAACTTTTAAAAACTACAAATAATAATTCTAGTAAGGACAAAGACAAAGCCTTGTAAAAAGCATAAGCACAAGTTTTCTTTGGGAAGTACGAACTCTCTATATCCAATTTGTCGTCAAATAGGACAATTGTGTTGAAGATAAGAAGAGACCAAGTCAAGTTGCTTGGTCATCAAGTTGGTTATTAGTGATGAGGTCTCCTACGATTTACTTCTATTTTCAAGATTCATTGTGATTCTCTTTTATATATAGAGCACATATTTGTGTAATCTTTATCCAAAAATAGCGATCTGTTTTCAAGATTCATTGTGATTCTCTTTTATATATAGAGGCACATATTTGTGTAATCTTTATCCAAAAATAGTGAAGATGTAGTCAGTTGGACTTTGGATCCGTAGACGTAAGGCTTCGGCCTGAACCATGTAATATTGTGTTTTCTCTTCTTCTCTCTCCAGTCATTAAATGCATGTATGCTCCCACGAATCTTAACATGATATCAAAGCCAGGTTGATCCATCCTTAGGGATCTATTGTGGCCTATCAATTTAACTTGTATCGGTGGTTTGGATAATCTCTGTCTTCACTTCTCTCTCTAGCTTTGTGTTGCACTCTGGAATTCCTTTTCCACAAATTCTTTGGAAGAGTTTTGCCTATTGATAGCGCTGCATCTCTTTCTAGCTTTGCCTTGCTCAGCATTTAAATCAGGAACTGAGACCATATTCAAATTGAGGCCATGAGAAATAGATGGTGGGTCTCCATCCAAAATCTCTGCTTTCATTATATCATCGCCCATTGAGCCATCTGCTTGATATTTATCTTCCTCACAATATCCATCAATACAACCTTGCCCTTGGGCCCTGCTAGCCTTCTTTAATGGGCGTGTTGATTATATCATTTCTGGCCCTGTGGTTGCCATGGAATCATTAGAGACAGAACAATTGCTTTTTCTCTCTAAAATAGACCCTCATTGGATGCAGTGGGCTGCTTAAGATCGGCCCTTGGTTTTCTCTATCTAAATTCCTCCTTACCAGAAGTTGTTAGAAAGGGGGAGGCTTTTTCGGTTTTGCAAGTGGATTGTCTTGAACATTTTCAATTCAATTTCTCTCTCTCTCTCTTTCTCTCTCTAGAAGAAGAAGATCGCCTGATGAAGTGCTCACAGAGAGGACTGCTTTATGCCCAAAGAATGGTTGTCTCAGCTTGAAGTGGCAAAGAGGCAAGCAGTGGAAGTAAAATGGGACATTGTTGCCGCAAAACCAGCTGGTTGGCTAGAAATGATGCTTGGTGACCCAAGAGTTGAGATATTTCTTGCCGGAAAACCACCTGTGCACTTATTCTTTTGGTGGGGAAGAACTTGACATCGTCATCGCGTGGTAGGTGGTGAACACCGTTGGTGTGAAGTGTAACACGTGAAGGAGCGATGTACGCAAATCGCTCTTCAGGGGGGGGGGGGGATTTCGGTTGGGTTAATCGGAAACAGCAAGGGCGTTTTGTCAGGAGTAACGGCAAGGGTGGTCAACGTAATTTTCATATTAAGCAAAGATGGGTCCCTATTCGAAAACTCCCTGATCCCTTGCCTATTCAGAGGGAAACTGCTTCGACTTCTTTGCTGACCAAGGAGGTTGTGAATGATGCTCCTATTTCGGGTTTGCTTTTAGGAGGATCCCGTGATGATCGTGGTGTTGACTGTTTAATTGTTTATCCTTCCCTCTTGAAGGTGCATTTCGTATCTTCAAAACCCCCTGATACCACGTAATAATAGGATAGCTTCTTTTTAAAAGAAAGAAAATTAAGAAATTACGCAAGAGATCCCTCAACCCACGTGGCCTTCTCCCTCTTTTCCCAAGCAGCCCATCCTTTCTCTAAAAGCCTTCTTACAGATGATGTGGTTTGCCCCTCAAGTGTCATTATAAAAAAAAAAAATAAATAAAAAGTTAAAAAAAAAATAAATAAATGGAAAAGAAAAGAAAAATAAGAGGTATTTTTTTAAAGATGTGAGCTATTGTCTAGAAGCTCAATTTCATTGTTTTTTTTTTATATCAGTTCTTGCTGATATTCATGCATTTTTCAGTTGTCTCACACGTTATTTGCTCCTAACGCCTCGCCATATAGCAGAGGACTTCATCACACCATTATTATGATGACATCGTCAGGGGGAGCATACATTCATGATTAGCGGATTTTTCAAGGAGAAGCTTTCACCAATCTTCAATGTTTGTTGCCACTATTTGTCGTAGAGTCATCTTTGTTGTGCCTTCGTAGCACTTAAGTGGTCTTTAGACCACGATTGGTGATCATGTGTCCCATATCACATCTCTTCGCTCAAGCATGCCAGTGAGAGCAGTACAAGTTTTTTTTGGCAACTTTTGGTCTTAAGACTCCAATTCCCGTTTCGGTTGGACACTTCGCTTCAGATCTCCGCACACTAATGTGCACTAACTTGAGGGGGAGTGTTGAAGTTAAGAAGAGACCAAGTCAAATTTCTTGATTATCAAGTTGGTTATTGGAGATAAAGCCTCCTACGATTTACTTCTATCTCCAAGATTCATTGTGATTGTCCTATATATATAAATTCACATATTTGTGTAATCTTTATCCAAAAATAGTGAAGATGTAGTCAGTTGGACTTTGGATCCGTGGACGTAAGGCTTCGGTTTGAACCACGTAAATATTGTGTTCTTTCTTCTTCTCTTTCCATCCATTCAATGCATGTTTGCTCCCACGAATCTTAACAAATTGGACTAGCTCTAAACGACAGTGTTTGAACTCAAAGAAGGTTAAAAGAGATGAAAGTGTTCAAAGAATAAATCAGAAGGGATTAAAGACTTCGGGGTATGAAAAGAATATGGCTTTAATGCCATTTTTTTAGAACTTCAACAAGCTTTCCAATCGAAAAATGGACTTCAAATGCAAAATAGAAAGTTTCCAAAAGGGTTTGAAGTAGAAAGATATGTGCGATGTATTGGATATGGTGATATCCAAAATCATCCACATAAGGAAATCTCATACTATGTGGGATTGGAATTGATACTGATAAGTTTCTTAAAGGAAATAGAGATCCAAAAAGATTAGGACTCTGGGATATATCTCTTGGCTCTTGAGATATATATAACACATATAGGAAGTATCCTATTTAGTGTGGACTCCTAACCTTATATATATATATATATATATGATGAAAGACTACGTGTGTGCTAGTTTCCAAGAAGATTTTAGGTGGTTTCCTTTTTTAATGAAAGAAAGTCTTGATTGCTTTCAAAGGTCTTTTCATGGACATCTTCTTCCTGGACAGAGGTTTTGTTGTTGAATAGAGATGAGATATCGGTGGGTGGTGCCGATAGGGAGAGAGGGTCTAAAAGGGTGTATATGATTGGATTTTATCGAGGGTTGGAGAGATAACTCTGTCTCAAAATCTATAATTTAATTTTTCATTGATATAGTAGATTTCAATTTGTCGTGCCTGTGGATATAGCCATCTTACGGTGAATCACGTAAATTTTGTGTTCCTATGGTTTGTGTGTTTCATGATTTATTTTTCGTATTATGGCTCGTGCTCCCTCCTATTTTGTTTTTAGTTGGATAAGTACACGATCTTGGTAGGATCCAATTTTTTCGATTCTGATTTCCGCATCTAAGAGGGTTCTAAAATCCTAACACGATGTGTTTGCGTTATAGTAATCGTTACTTCACTCTACATGTTGTGGTAAAGACTCATATTACACCCCTGGACCACCTCATTTTCAAAGAATTTTACTTTTTCAATTCTCATTTTCGGAACCAATTTTCAATGCTCCCCAGTTGCATGAGCCTAAACATGAGCCCATTTCATCTTTTGTCTATTTCTAAAATTTTCATTAGCTTTAAAAAAGTTTCGTTTAGGGCTCCTTGGCCGCATGAGTCTAATCTTTTAAAACATTTGTAAATTAGTTCCTGGCATGAACGCAAACTGCCCCTCTTTGAAACATTTCTATGAATTATTTATGAATATTAATGAATTCTATTTCAAGAAAGAATAGAAATTCAAGAGGACTATAGAAAAGATAAGAATTTGGTACACATGGTTACTACCAGCGGTGATTGGTGTACTCCACCTTTTGTAAGAGAGTCTACATCAGAATTAGCCTCTCTATAGCAATAATAGAGTATCATTCTCATAAAAAATGGGTATTAATATCCATGGAGGTCTCGAACCTCCTTTGCACCAAGCAATCGCATTAGAGCTCCCTTTATACTTTTATGTCGATCCATCCTAGAGATAAGGTTCAAACCTTCTAGTAATCTTCGAGCTTCCGCTTCAATGATGGTGGTGATTCCATAAAGACCGGAATAAGAAGCTAAAAGATTTCCCCTATGGTCCCTAATAAGACCTCCGCACCCAGTAGGTCCCAAAAGTGCTCCTATCGAAATTAAGTTTCAAACAATTCTTAAGCTCTTAGGCAGAGGTAGCCATCCTGCATGTCTTGTGGATGCCCTCAAACATAAATTAGCAACTGTTAATGGATTTAATATGATCAGGTCCTTGGAGATAAACTTACAGTCTTTATCATTCGACATCCAATCAGTAGCCATGGCGAGAATATTTGATTTAAGTATAGGTACTTTCAAATAGATGCATTCAAACGTCCTCCTATTTCGTTCCCTCCAAGTAGTCCACATTAAGCTGGTCAAAGTAGATCTCCAAAAAATAGTTCCAATTTTTGAAGTACCTTAGGACATAAGTTGTTGTTGCCTAATGTCCATGCTTTGTGGAATAGAAATATGTAGATTTAATAGTTGTTTTACATAGTTCTATAACTCCACTGTGAAAAGACAGTCAAGGAGAATATGTTCTATTGATTCACAATCTGTTTTACACAATAAGCAACCATTTGTGAGCGTGAACCCCCTTTTTATGAGATTATAAATGGTAGGTTGTTACCCTTGACAAGCAACCATAAGAAAAGTTGAAGTTTAAGTGGAATATGTGAACTTCATATTTTAGAAAGACCATGATTCAAGGAGTGAATGCGATCATCATATAGGAGTCTGTACATTGATTTTACAGTGGAGTAACCAGAAGGAGTAAGGTCCCATATAATTTGATCAACTTTAGTTGGAGCGTAGTGAACATTTTATAGCAACTCCATTAGTCTTTGGAACTCCTCAATAAATATACTTGCAAACAATCGACCTAGAATTAGTATATGGCTCCTCCCCTTTTACCTCCCTGACTGAAACAAATGGATTGCATGCTTTGGAGAAGACTTTAGGAAAACAATATCTAAGGTCATAATCTCCAAGCCACTGATCAAACTGAAATGAACTTTGGTCTCCCATCCCCAAATCTTGTGGTAATGATGAAGATACTTGGGTCTATAGTAATCAATGCCTCCCCAAATACATGATAATAAAGTTTTATTCCTTGGACTTTTAATCAGGCCATACAAGACATCCTCCCCATATTTTTGTTTGAGAACTTCACACCACAAAGCCTTCTCATTATGTTGATATCGCCACCACCATTCCACCCTCGTTTTCCTTTCAGCAATGATTCGATCCCTTCTTGCTTTGGGTGGTGCATGCCACCCTATGTTTTAAGAGAGAGAGGGAGGGAGGGGAGGAGGGAGTGGCTTTGAGTTGTTTTCTAAAGTGGGGGTATGACTCCCTATTTACAATGGTGTAATGGCCAAGGTTTTATTTGGGATTTAATATGGACAGTTGATTTGAGGTGATTTATAGGTGAAGAGAGGCTTTTACTCTCAACCCTCAATTTTCTAAATTAGCCACCATGCTTGAGAGGCAGGATCTATAACTATTATCTCTTACTTTCTTTAACACATTATTTTCTAACAAAAAAATAGCAAAGTTTCATATCCACAAGAATCTTCTTCGTTTTAAAATCTTACACAAAGTTTCTAGTAACTCCAAGAAATAGATGGCTATGAGGCCTTACGTGTCATAGCCTACATTTAAAGAAATTCCATGTATCCAACATTTACATCTATATGAACGTAACCCTTCATCCAACGGCCATATCCATATGAACGTAACCCTTTCAGATACCCGTTGGAGATCAGGGAACCCTTTCATTTCTTAGAGACCTATTAGAGAAATACAATGGTTACCCTTCCTCTCCCAATGAAATGGGAAGACAGAGAGAGGATGGATATAGCAATGAATAGGCGGCATCTCTCTAAAAGGCGAAGGGATAAAAATCCAAGCTCTGCGATCACCAGCCTCACGAGACCCCTTCTCTGATCTCGGGTTTGATCTTATACACGTTTCATCAAATTTTGCTAACAATGGTAGCAGAGTACCCAGGTTCCATCTTCCCTATTTTTACTCTGAATTTTTTAACAATAGAGTTTATCCGATTTGTTTGTTACGATCTATGCCCAAAATTTTGTGTAGTAATCATGCGTCAAAATATCACATATTGATATCTTATCTTGGTTCATAGTATTATCTTGATTCACAATGTTAATTAATTAAAGGATAAATATGCATGCCGATATCTTATCTTGATTCACAATGTTAATTAATTAAAGGATAAGCATGCATGCATTCCCTTTATATTGATCAATTTCAAATCACCTCTATCCCATTTTTTTATGGGTTTGGTTCAGCTGTTTGCTTTATTTGATAAGTTACGATATAGATATATCATACTGTGTGATATGGGATTGACTACCTAATTTATTTATTATTTTTCGAACAAACGAGTATCATTCTCTGCAATTGAAGGGAATTACGCGAGAGAGAAAGTTGTTGTGTTCCCCAAGTGGTACATATCAAGGCTTGAGATGTGCCCCTTGGATTCCCTTTGATTGGCTTGAGACGTGCTCCTGGCTTGAGAGAGAATAATCCTCTCGG